GTCCCCGGCAATGCATGATCGCATAGCTTTCTGTCCGGTGTTGTCTAGCCGTGTCCCGTTGGCAAAGTGCACAACTGGACAGTCTGCCTCAGCTTCATCGTTCACGTCAGTGGTCAGCCAGGTCAACAGGCCAATACCGGGTATGGTTTCCACCACCTTTGGGCAGACAGGAGTGGCTGAGTCGTAAAGAACAACAACAACATGACAACGGACAAAACAAAGCCACGCTTTAGTTTTAGGTGCAGTGTTTTCCTTGCACGTGTATGCAATATTACACTGTTTGGCCCATTCTGCTGCTTGGTTCCGCTGCGTCGATGCGTGTGGGAATCGACATTGACGAACAAACGAAACACCTTTTTAGGAGTAAAATGAACAGCAAATGGGTACGCTGCACAGAATGTCCACATGGCTCACTCTCTGCAGGATTGACACAATCAACAGTCAATCTCGTGAGCAACAATTTCAGCTACAAAAGTAAGTCACGAATAACTACACTATCTTCAGACTTACAATATTCGCCAAAAAAACAAGGGCCAATGCTGCACATGGTAGTCGACTACGATGCAGGCAGCATTGGCCGGATTTGTTTTGGCAAATATAGTGTTAACAATGACTGCCTAATTTCCACCTCACAGAACAACGACAACTTAGTACCAGGAACACATTTCTTAATCACCACCCATGCGCATTATTGCCCAGGTTGGCTGAACTTCATCACAACAGTACATGGGTTGCAGAAGAAACAGAGCAACATTGAGACTCTGGCTACACCAACATGAAGTGAGCTACATAGCAGAGAAGAGTATGTGCTTCGAAGGCTACTCAGTGTCCTACTGCAACAACTAGCCTACACACTATTTGCTAAATTCTAGTGACAGAATACATTGCCCAGCAGCAATTCATCCTTAGCCCTCCACACACAGGCAATAAAATAAAAAAATAGAATTTCACGGTTCGCGTGGGACTCGGCTGAAGGCCGAGTTCTCCACATCCATAGGAACACCACTACCCTCTATGGACCAAGGCCTTAAATAATTCTTCAAAACAAAGTTTGATAGGGAAATGTTCGTACGCTGTTAATCAGCCACTATTAAATTCCAAACAACCATTGATTGTTAGATATCCTCCCCTGCACATCTTGAAGTGCCTACTTTAGCCCCTATGCAACTATGGCAAATCCTCCTACACATATCCACTTTGGCCAAGTTTGGTCACAAAGCAGAAGGGAATGCAGGCATTCAAGGAAGGCGCTTACAAGTCTCTCCGCAGTTGAGACTTGCACTCAGCCACAGATGCTCTCTGAACCCTCCCTGAACACCCTCTCCGCTTGCATCCTAGCTCCCCCCTTTTCTTTTTTTCCTCTATCACATGTATCATCTTTCCATTTTCCTTCCTCTATACAAAATGTACTCCCCCATCCCCTCCCCCTCTGGCTACTCCTCCCCAGTTTTTGGTGCACTGAAGTGTCGCTGAAGCCGAGACCTCAGGTCGGCGGAGATGCTCCAGTTTCACCACCACAGTTGCGTCTGCAACCACCTCGATCATGCAGTATTCTGTTCTCGAGGTTCGTGGTTTCTCGTAAAAAAAAAGATAAAAAAGGGCTCAGTTCTTGCAGCATTACACTGTCGTAGACTATTGCACCCGGCGAAACAGCCAACACACCTATTGATTGTCCAGACGTTGAATAACTGTTGATTTTAGATATATGTCAAAGACTTTCCTAGTCAAGAGTAAGAGAGAGAGAGAGAGAGAGAGAGAGAGAGAGAGAGAGAGAGAGAGAGAGAGAGAGAGAGAGAGAGAGAGAGAGAGTGAGAGAGAGAAATATATATAGAGAGAGAAAAAGAGAGAGAGAGAGAGAGAGAGAGAGAGAGAGAGAGAGAGAGAGAGAGAGAGAGAGAGAGAGAGAGAGTCCCAAGGGCATCATGACTACGCAAGAAACCAAGTTAACACTTACCAAATATCGGTAAGCATTCATCCGTATTACTGTTTGCCCATACAGCAGCACCGGTTTCGTCACGAATACAGCGACGTTTGGCCTCGAAATCAGGCAAGAGGCCGAGCAGTCCACCAGAATTCGAAGAGGGACAATCTACTGTAGCTCCAGAATACTGCCTTGTACGCGGCCATCGGACAGAGCCTTTAACACCAAGGTCTTCTCTCTCGGACTTGCAGTAAAGCACTATAATTGACAAGGCAGGGGATCAAAGCAAGCAAGAAATAGCAGATCGGTGTGGGAGTCAGGATAGTACGCCTGTATTACACCTGTGTTGCCTAAAGTCAACCTTATGGACAACGGCCTAGAGAATAACAACAACTCACGAATAACAAGATAATCTCTAAATCTAGTGACTGCATACTTTCAACCTCCCAAATAGGAGCTCACGGATAACAACACTTTTCTCAGGCACTATTGAGGGTTGTTGTTAGAAAGGTTGACTACCTACGTTAGATCAAAAATGGGGGAGGGGGTCGTCGTCGAGTTGCCCACTCTTGGCTATGTACTCATGGTAGACGTATACAGCACTCTGGGTTTGCTCTCAGCGTATTGTGTTGTATATTATATACTCACCAGGGGGGGGGGGGGGGGGGGGGGAATTCAAATGATAGTTAGATGCCTCGCATGGATGGAACTCAGAGGAATGTATCGTTCCGTTTTTCATGTTTCAGAACACTTCCTTGAACATTGTCGCATATCACTGGATTTTGTGAGGACACATCCCATCATCACAGAAACAGTGATGAGCCCAAATATTGCCAATTCTACAATCCTTACTTTTGGCTAATAAGCATTATCAGTGACAAATAACTAACCTTCCTGCGTCTGACAGGTCCTGGCAGCACGAACTGACCAACTGGCAGTTCCATTGCTCAGCAGCACACACCGACGACTTGCCTCTGCACCACTCTCCGATGAGTTAGAGCCATTGGCATAGTAGACAACGGGGCAGTCCAGTACTACGCTGGTGTACACTGCAGTCACTGGCCATGTCAACACATCCACCGCCGAAATAGTCTCATTCTCCGCTGGACAGTACTGAGCAGCTGCACAAGTAAATGAAGAAGAAAAACCCCAAAACCAAAACAACTTGGATTCATGTTACTGGTGGGGTGAGGTCGGCCAGGAAGCGCATGTGGTAGAGGTGGAGTTGTGTTATTGGTAAACAGGCAGAAAGCTTTTACGTCAGTTGTCTCAAGATTGCCACAGACATTACTGGCAATGACTTCCCATCTATTACGTGCAAGGTATGTGGTGCACATTGCCCAGTGTTTCGCCCAATGGTGAGGGTGTGCCTTTCCTGGAAGGATTCTGCCGATGCAAATAACAATTCTGTGACTTACACGCCGTGCAATTGTCAGTGACGCTCGTCGCCCACTTTGCTGAGCCAGGATTGTCCCCGGCAATGCATGATCGCATAGCTTTCTGTCCGGTGTTATCTAGCCGTGTCCCGTTGGCAAAGTGCACGACTGGACAGTCTGCCTCAGCTTCATCGTTCATGTCAGTGGTCAGCCAGGTCAACAGGCCAATACCGGGTATGGTTTCCACCACCTTTGGGCAGACTGGAGTGGCTGAGTCGTGAAGAACAACAGCAACAACATGACAACGGACAAAACAAAGCAACGCTTTAGTTCTAGGTATAGTGTTTTCCTTGCACGTGTATGCAATATTACAATGTTTGGCCCTTTCGGCTGCTTGGTTCCGCTGCGTTTGTGCATGCGGGAATTGACATTGACGAACAAACGAAACACCTTTTTGGAGTAAAATGCACAGGAAGTGGGCATGCTGCACAGAGTGTCCACATGGCTCACTCTCTGCAGGATTGACACAATCAACAGTCAATCTCGTCAGTAACAATCTCAGCTACTATTTTTTCTTGCAGGTTGGCTGAACTTCATCACAACAGTACATGGGTTGCAGAAGAAACAGAGCAACATTGAGACTCTGGCTACACCAACATGAAGTGAGATACATAGCAGAGAAGAGTACTTGTCAGTTTGAGAACTCAGGCAGGGTACGTTCGGGCCTGATTTAAATCTGGCTTTGGAAATTTTATTTTCATTGCTATCAGGTTCGGCCTCATTTTCTCTGTGCTGCGCTGAGGAGTTCACAAAGAACGAAACAGCATGCTGTGCGCAGATTGAGTAGCAGAGAAGAGTATGTGCTTCGAAGCCTACTCAGTGTCTTACTGCAACAACTAGCCTACACACTATTTGCTAAATTCTAGTGACAGAATACATTGCCCAGCAGCAATTCATCCTTGGAACTCCACACAAAGGCAATAAAAAAAATATAAAAAGAATTTCACGGTTCGCGTGGGACTGGGCTGGAGGCCGAGTTCTCCACATCCATAGGAACGCCACCACCATATATGGATCAAGGCCTTACAAATATTACACAGCAATGAATCAAACAAGTCTCATTCCGCTGTTACTCCGAGTTCCGTGTCAGAACACTTCATCAGACATCATCAAGGCCTTCTTCGAAACAAAGTTTGATAGGGGAATGTTCGTAAACTGTCAATCAGAAGCATTTATATTCCAAACAACCATTGATTGTTAGATATCCTCCCTTGCACATCTTGAAGTGCCTACTTGAGCCCCTATGCAAGTACGGCAAATCCTCTTACGCACATCCACTTTGGCCAAGTTTGGTCACAAAGGCTCAGTTCTTGCAGCAATACACGGTTAGAGACTATTGATTGTTGCACACAGTGCATGGCCAGCACACCTATTGAAACTCTGCCTGAAGAGTCTCCTAGCATATTTCAGCTGTTCACTGAAAGGGGAGATTTGCCCATTCAGATAGGACCCGGGAACTCTCAATCGAGTCTGCATACAGTGCTTGAAAAATCGCCCATCTTTTCAGGTCTGAGGCAACTGGTGGGAGTTAGGTAATGAGATATACTGACAGGAATATTGATGGGCATTTAGGTTGCAAGTATCCTTGCCTACCTTACAAACGAACAGCCTCTATGGGTCATGATGCTACAAACAGTGACCTGTGCACACGCCGCACCTCATTTCTGGGAACGCTAGGAAAAGTGTGCTCACAGTCCTACCATGACGTCAGAACGACAATACTGTAAAATCCATTATTCTAACGAGGCGCATATATAACGATTTCCCAAAATTGACTGGTTTACGTGTACCAAAGGTGACGATTCTCACTTATTCTCAACGCTCAATAGGACAGTATATGCTTCGATTTCTGCATAACGATTTCTATTTTAACGACAGATTTCTCCTCGTTAACTGATTAGAGTTAGCACTTCGTTATATATATGGCTGTTAAAGGTACTTCATCCATGAAGTTTAAATCAATGAAGTGTTGTTGTTGCTATGGTATCATCCTATGACTGCGTGCACACTTTCCAGCGTTGCTATGTGCTGTCGTCAGCATGGAAATCCGGCGCACGTCTGGCGGCCCTAGGGCGCTGGCTATGCAGCCGTGGGTAAGCGGTACACACATGCATTTACGCGCTGCAGCTCTGGTCACATCGGATCTACATGACACTGCATGCCACGACGTTACGTTCTGAGCGCGCTGAGGGCGCCGGCCCGGGTCATTCGACTGGATTTCCATATCCACGACAGTAGGATTCTTGTCTCCATGCCACCTTTCTCGGAATTAGCAATATTACCTTGAACACTCCCCCCCCCCCTTGTGCGCAGCTCTATGCAAACATTTCCTACATGTCCCCTGGAGGACTGCACTTGACCGGAAACAAATCGGCAGTCTCCGTGATCGCCCAGCTTGACCGGTACATGCAAAGAGCAGGACCAATCATGACAAATGATGAGTCCAGTCATGCCAACATCCCCTCCGCATTAACACACTCCAGAAGATGAAGAACGAGTTCTTAATCTTCCTGATATTATTACTATTACAGTCAGACATCGCTTGTACGGTCCTCATTTATCCGGGTCCCTCGCCATCCAGAAGAAAATCGTTGTTTACCGATTTACAGCATATGCCACGCACAAATACAGCATGTGTGTTCGCGTACCCGGCTCCCTTGCCTATCCGGATATTTTTGTGGAAAACGAATGTGTGCGGTTATGCGAGGTCTAACTGTATTCTCAATTTCTAGCTTGATCTGACTACACCGTGGGCATGCACAAGTTACAGAGTTAATGTTGGGTTATCGGTTTGATTGTGACTTGACTTAGCCCTAAAACAACCATTGAGTACTGTTTGGGCTGTGGAGCACCCAACTTGCTTTCGTTTAGAAATTGTTTGATATGATAATTAAAGTAGAAGGCATGTGCCAGACGGCAGATCTCTTACATATAAACGTGTTGCATACATGTGTGATGCTGTCACTCCAGGACCCTGTCGGGCCGCATAGCCGAGTCGCACTCGGCGCTTTGCCATATCCAATGGACGCGGTGGCGAAGTTGGGACATGGCAGCCTGGCAACCCTTAGGATACGCGTACTGGGCCAGCGAAACGTGCCGATGCCATCCACCACCTCAATGCGTCTTGAGCAAGTCGTTGCTGCAGGTTTGCAAAACACCATAACGTAGAGTCTTTTGCAGGAAAGTCATGCGTCATGTGTGCATGAGTTCTGAATGTGATCGCATTGTGGAAAGTCATGCGTCATGTGTGCATGAGTTCTGAATGTGATCGCATTGTGGCTCACATTCTCTGCACAGTGTATATATTATCTGCACAGTGTATATATTATCTGCACAGTGTTTATATTATCTGCACAGTGTTTATATTATCTGCACAGTGTTTATATTATCTGCACAGTGTATATATTATCTGCACAGTGTTTATATTATCTGCACAGTGTTTATATTATCTGCACAGTGTTTATATTATCTGCACAGTGTATATATTATCTGCACAGTGTTTATATTATCTGCACAGTGTTTATATTATCTGCACAGTGTTTATATTATCTGCACAGTGTATATATTATCTGCACAGTGTTTATATTATCTGCACAGTGTTTATATTATCTGCACAGTGTTTATATTATCTGCACAGTGTTTATATTATCTGCACAGTGTTTATATTATCTGCACAGTGTGTATATTATCTGGGTAAAGTGTTTATATTATCTGGCTAACACACAATGTAGATGGAACTCGTTCGACTGACTCTCCATCTCTCGAACGAGAACCGAGCTTGCTACAGTCGACCTACCCTTATAACGGTAGTCCCTATAACGATATCTCTTATTGGCGATGGTGCCATCGTGAGAATAAAGAATTTGAAAAAACGATCTTACCCCTATAACGATATATTTCTGCCAAGCCCAATCACTCCATTGACTTTCATAATATTATACAATTGTCATGTCCCCGAAACTTATCAAGCTTCACTTGTTAAGTTGCTGGGACATGACAAAATGCAATGGGGGCACCAATGGCCACCTTGCTGTGTACATAAATTGTATGTACGTAAGTTTTTGATGCTATGGAGAGTGTAAAAATTCAAAAAAATGAACTAAATTAATGCATTACGAGTCTATTTACGACGTATGTTTATGAAATGAACCAGTTACCATTATAACAATACTCCTTAGTCCGACGCAAATATCGTTATAAGGGTAGGTCGACTGTAACTTACTGCAGAATGCTACGAATGCCCATAAACTGTGCTTGCCATTTGTACTCCAGTGTTACAATTATAGTGTATAGCTCACATTTCCAGTACATGGATTTTGTCTGTGTACCCTTTCTTGATTGCAAACTCGCTGGTTCGCTTCTCCAATGAAGACTGAGCTTGCTACAAACTTCCGGAAACGGGAAAAATCATGCCGATTGCATTCCATGTCGTTTACCAATAGTTGGCTCAAAGCAAGGCGGTTCGCATTGACTGTCGTGCGCTTTACTTTTGACCATTTGTTGCCAAGTATCTTTGACTCCTCTGCTTCCAGTCTGTCGCGGTAGTGAAACACCCGCAGAAGCAAAGCGCAGAGGATTAACACCGTATGTAACGGGGGAAAAAGAAGAAAAATGACCATGTCCGTTCCCGAAGGGAACTCACGACGCCCGCTAACACCCGGTAAACCCTAGCGACAGATGCAGCGACTAACGGTGGGGATGAGGGGATAAGTCTCACCACCACTGGCACAAGTGCCAAGAAACCCCATTAGCCGTATCCATGTACACTTTGTGCCTGGCCACAAGTTCCAAGTTGACTGTGGGTAGCAGCACGGCTGGAAAAACTGCTCCCAGGCAGGACTTGAACCAGGTTACCTCTCGTAGCTCAATCATGGTCTTTGACCAACCCACTGTGCCTGCCTGCTTGGTATGTAAAGCGAAAGCTTGCTCACAAATTTGCAGGAGCGTCATTATAATAATATTATGATAATTACTGGACATCACAAAAGCACATGCATAGACCCGCACTCCCCCCCCCCCCTCCCTTCAAAACGCCATGCCACTGTTTTATAATAATAATTTTGAAGAGAACCAGTGAAAGATGGGCAAAGTTCTTCACGGTATGCCGCCGGTTTCACGTCAAAGATAACCCAGCCCTCACTGCCTCCAACAGCACAAAAGAATGCTCTTCAGAATAATAACATTCTACAGTTTACTGTACGTACCTGGTGGTGCTGGGATGCCGCCGAAAATGCAATGGCCCGGCTGTAGGACGCTAGCAGCGAACAAGAGTATCAGTCCATTCCACAGCATCTTCGCATAGCATGAGCCAAAGGTTCTCACGTGGACACCGTTCTGTTGTAAGCTTCTTTTTTCTCTGCTTGAAATGCCACCCGAAAGGGCTTAGCAGCTGCCACTCCGAGCACACTGCAGTCTCTTACGAAAGAAATTATCCAACGCTTCCTTCCACTTCCTGTCCTTGCCTGCACTTTCGAATTTCTCGAATGGCATGATGAAGGGCTGCTGCATGCGCACTTGAACTGAAGTTGAAGTAAGTAATTATTAGTTGTTGAAGTAGTTGAATCTCGCTCAAGCCGGCGGCGGACTGGCATAGAAGTGCTGTACTGTTTGTTCACAGAACGAAATCTTGTACTGTTTGGTCCAGAGTCGTATAAGTAGTATGAGTCTGACTCCCTGATTGACACCACTCATCAGAACAAGTCAGGACAGTACTCAGTAGATCAATACACATGGTACAGACTCAGTACATGTACTAGATCAGTAGATCTACTGATCTACTGACAGTCAGTAGATCAGTACTGATTCAGTAGATCTACTGACTGTCAGTGTCAGTAGTCTGTAGGATGGATCTACAACAGTCAACACTGTCAACAGTCCTGAAATGAGGCTGAAGAGTGAAGGCTGAAGTAACGACTGCGTGGGCGCCCCGCGTCACCATGGTCACGTGTCGAGCAGAATCTGCCACCGCGGTACCGTTTCGAGCATTATCCGCCAATGCATTAATGGCAATGGCAATGCCTATTATTTCTCAGCGCAGCCTAGCCACAGTCAAACTAGTTACTTAGTCGTCGCCGAAAAAATCCTGCACAGCCAATGTACATGATTGTACTTTTAATTTTTTGTAGCACCAACACTAAATTTGTATGACTATGACAGTATGAGGGACTGAGCGCCACATTACACACTCGAAGTTTGACAGCCAGGCCACAGACTCGCATGAAAATCAATTTGATTTTGATTATATTTGTACAGTTGCTCGCACTGACCTTGCAAGTCCACCCAATTTTTTTCATTTTGCTTTGTATTTTTCAATGAACAGAGGCAAAATGCTTTGGTTCTGCAAAAGTGCTCAATGCCTGATTCAGGCAGAGCGGCGTACACAAAGGCACACAATGAAAACCTTGGCAAATTAATTCCGTTGTGACTCAGAGTTTCATGGCTGAACGAATCATCAGACAACGATAATGGAATAGGAGGCAGCGCTGGTATATCTAAGTGGAGAGATGTGTGATAATACGATAGCGAGAGGAGTAATCGCGTGAATGTATGCAGGGGCAGGCTATTTCAGAGGCAGATGCAGTTGGCGCAGGTCTAGCACTAATAAGCACGCGCTTAATCTCGCTCACACACCAGCACCCTAACACGCACACGCACAAACAACATATCCACACCCACACACATACTAAACACGCACACACATAGTAACACCCACACACATACAACACATACACGCACACACTAACACACACACACATACACCCACCCACAACACCCTAACTTGCACACGAGCGCACGCACACACAGACACCCACCCACCCACAACACCCTAACTCGCACACGCACGCACACACGCATATACACACGTCACACACCTAGATATATGCACACACATACACACACATGTCCACACGCACACACGCATACACAGGCATCTGTGTTCGTATGACAAATCTAAGCGCACACAAACTCCTGCAATCACGCGTCAAAAACCAGCAGCGGTCATAGCTGTCTATGTTTTAGGGGTGGCCAGCAGAAACTTGCGCTGGTGAGGGCATTTAGATACCAGCTCACTTCTCTTGTTTAGGGAGGTAGCTTTTGAAGCCTTCAGGATGTGGAACTTTTCGGTGAGCCATAGGCCACACTTCTTGCTGATGTTACTGTATGAAGGTGCCCTATCCTTGATCTCCCATCTGATGTCGAATCCGTGGTTCTCGTTTTTCAGATCCCAGATGTGCTTGGACAACTTAGTCGATGCGGCGTACCTTTCATGGCGGAAGTCAGAAGTGTGTTTGTTGTAGCGCTGCTTGAATGTGGTAGCTGTCATGCCGACGTTGGATGCTACATGCGCCTCGTACAGCATGCCCCGTCTCGACCCCTCTCGCTTATTGTGCAAAGGGTCGTACTACTGTATACATAATTGTTAGATTGACAGCATGAAACAAGGTGGAGGACACTGACTGTGTTCGGAAACAGTGACCTTTAATAGCTTACTACAACCTTCCTTTTTTCTATTTATACTGTATACATGTAGCGGACATGCAAATCCAGTCGATTGACTGGGGCCGGCGCCCTCAGCGCGTACAGAACGCTGCGCGTGCATGCAGTGCACATTTTGATCCGATGGGAACAGCGCGCTGCAGCACATAAAAATAATGCATGTGTGTACCGCTTATCCACCACCACGGCTGCATGGTCAGCACCCTGGCCTGGCCCAGGGCCTGGGGCCGCTGGACGTGCGACCCGATTTCCATGTCCACAACAGTAGTACAAGTAGTATGCATGCACTGTACACACCATACACATCATACATGTACAATGATTATGTCCGTGGATCGGCGTCCGTGGATCGGCGGGCCGTCTGGTTTGGACTCTGGTGCTTTGCGCAGAATGTGTACGTGCTATAAACATGATAAAAGTTTCACACTTGCCACGTGATCGTTGCCACGGTTTGAGCCAATCAGAGCGCTCACAGGCAGGGCATGAACCTCTGATCATGCCCTGCCATTCAGGCCCTTGGGCTTGAATGGCACCGTACTAGGAGAACATGAATGATCACGTGATGGGTATACTCGCACGTGGAGAGACTTACCTGATCGAGGTGGAACAACTCGAGAGAGAAAGAGAGAAAGAAAAAGCCTGATATCCGGTCCATGTCTGATACATGCGGTGGCATTCAGGCCCTTGACCAATCAGCACGTCCCGAGACCGTGTGGAGGTGAAACTGAACACGCCGGCATGAAGGTATAAAAGGAAGAAACCTCTAGGGGTGGTGGTCGGGGACGTGGAGGACTCAGATTCTGAGTTTCAGGTTGGTACGCTCGAGGGCTTTGTTGATTCAGGCCCGAGAGCGGCCCAAGGCCGAAGGCCGCGGGCCGCTCGAGGGCCTGAATCAACAAAGCCCTCGAGCGTACCAACCTGAAACTCAGAATCTGAGTCCTCCACGTCCCCGACCACCACCCCTAGAGGTGGTCGGGGACGTGGAGGACTCAGATTCTGAGTTTCAGGTTGGTACGCTCGAGGGCTTTGTTGATTCAGGCCCGAGAGCGGCCCAAGGCCGAAGGCCGCGGGCCGCTCGAGGGCCTGAATCAACAAAGCCCGAGAGCGTACCAACCTGAAACTTCACCTTGCTTGAGATGAAACTTTACCTTGCTTGAGTTGAAACTTCACCTTGCTTGAGTTGAAACTTCACGTTGCTTGACATGAAACTTCAGAACGAAACTTCATAATTCAGCCGGAGCGCACGGAGGTGGAACTTCAGCTTGTGAGTTTCTGCCATTGTTGTGCAACGAGTGCCATAAACATGATAAAGGACTTGAGAACTTGGGCAGGCAGGCACTCGGTGTTTCTAGTTGATGTATTTCAAGTTCGATTTATGCAGATTAGTGCAGTACAGTGGCTTTGTTTGCGCTGCTAGCATGCTGCGGGTGCGTTGTAGGTGCACTTGCACTTGCACGTTCGGCTGAGGAGAGCGTTCTGGCTTTCACTTGTGCTGTCGTGCGTGGGTGGCAGTGTGAAACACAATCAGACATGGATGTCAGGGCAGGTATCGTTGATTCCGGCCCTCGAGCGGCCCGCGGCCTTCGGCCTTGGGCCGCTCTCGGGCCTGAATCAACGATACTGCCCTGACATCCATGTCTGATTCTATACATAAGGGACCGACCGACCGACCGACTTATGTGATGCTATAGCCATTTTTACGCGTAAGATATGTACAGTCCAATAGATGACTTGCACAAAGATCCGAGCCGCGAGTGAGACGGGGCAAGTGCACCCTGTGCACCCAGGCTACACTGCGGGCACCCTACGTAGCTACACCGTCTGTAGACTACAGTCCATTCAGAAAAAATGAACTTCTAGCTTTTGGCCATAAATGGGTCAAACGTTGAGTTTTTTTAGAATTTTTTTCTGCAATCCCATATGGAACACGGCTGTCAAGAAGCGGCAACTTAGAAAGATGGCGTCGGTTCGAGATGGCATGGTAACCGCGCACGTGCCGTGGTCCGTGACTTGCTCATGTATGCACGCAAATGCAAGTCACAAACTCACAAAGATCGTCTTTGCATTTGGAGAAAATATCTTCGACTCTCTTTGGAGTTTGGCGAGGTTTGCCTAATCTTTACTTGATTGCGATGCCGGTATGTCCTCTCAATAATTAGAACAAAGAGAGCTGATGATCGCTTCATTGCTGAGCAGAAGTAACAATCAACTCTCCTCATGTCCTCAGTGCCAAAGGCAGACGACTGCAATTCCACAACGAGCATTTCACGATGATGAAAACAATAATCGTGTACTAGTACACACTTGGACCATTTGGTCATCCCTATTCTAGCCGCTAGTCCGTCCAGCAAGCAGATATTGACTATTACGATCAGTACAACTGCGTGAACGAGGGCTCACCCAGCAAATTCAATTCAAGACGTGACTCCAGTCAAGAATTAGGGTCTTTACTCGAGAACTTCACAAATACAGGTCAAGGCACCCCACAAAACTGATAGATGGCACGAACGAAAGACAAAATAGGCTAGACAAAGTGTCCCAAGTGATTGAAAACAGCAGATCTACCAAATAAGACAGCTACATGTGCCTAAACAACGATTCCCATACAGTACAGAGTAGTATCAGGCAGAATGAAGGCCTTGGAAGTGCACAAATACAGCCACGACCGCCACAAAAATTGGACGACCGCCACAAAAAAATTCTCATTGCTCTACCTCCTTGAAGGGTGAAAGTTACCAGTTATCCTATAGCGATGTCAGTTTATGCCTGTTGGAACCCCCCACAGCCCGCACGAAATACCTTTCAAATAATTCCAGGATGCAATTGCAGCTCCAGACAGGAGGAAGAAGAACACCGTGAAAAATAACGGCAACGATGCCCAAACTCTCGGGAAACGGCTGAAGTATTCCTGAAGATGTTAACATTGAATAGCCATCGATTACCAGCGTGGTTTGGTGACTTTAGAACTGTTTTGAGACTAAGAACGAAGCGATATCTCAAATTTGATGGAATTGTTACCTGTCAAATGCGTGG